CATTTCACCTTACTGTGTGCCTTCACCTTAATCAACTGAAGAACCAAAGACTTTGATCTACATATATCTTTAATCTTCACTACTAAACTCGCATTTTGCTTCTTACTCCACAGTCTCGTATCAGTAAGTATTGTTGGATCTTCTAAGCTTGCAATTGCTGCAGCACTATCTAGTTTAACTATAATTTCACTTTTACACCTAGCTGTTAGCACTACCATTAACACAGCTACTAACTCCGCCTTTGTTGATGATGGCCATCTGCCAAATCTAATCTTTTCTTCCGCATGTACTGTCTCCTTCAAACTATCAACCTGTACCCAACCTGCACCCATTCTATACTCTTCCCTACTTTTGATCAAGAACCCATCAGTATACTATTTACATTTCTACTACAATTACCTCCAATTGCTGTATTAACAGCAACTCTAGCTTCTGGTCAAAACCCTGCTCTATAACTAAACTCTTTTTATGTGACTTCATCACTACTATACTATTTATCTCGCACTTACTTTTTGCTTTAGCTGACATATTTTTTTATTTTTATTTTATTTTATTTTATTTATTTATTTATTTTTTCTTTTTATTTTCTTTCGCTTTTTTGTTCTTTGTTTTATTTATTTATTTTTTTTTATTCTCTTTTGCACTTTCATTTATTTTCTTTGTTCATGTATTGGTGCAATAGGTAATATTAGATCTGCTTGAAACTGGAATCTTGCAGAATAAGTAGTTTATTGGTTTTTTTTTTTTTTTTTCTCAAGCTTTAATGCTATTTTTTTTTTTTGTAGGCTAGCTTCGCTAAGATGTTGGGAAATGTGGAGCTTGAGTTGGAATCTTTTTTTTTTTACTGTTTGTTTTTGGATCTTTTTTTTCAGCTTGAACTAATTTTTCTTTCAGGTTTACTTCATTCGAATAATGAATAGGTTGCTTTGGTGTCATCGTTTTTGGAAGATGTAATTTTATCGTTTTGGTGCTATATAATTTTGTTGTCACTTTTGGGAAGCTTTTGCTAGTATCACAGGTCAAAAGATAAAAAATCAGGCACAAATCAGGTGCCTGATTTTTTATCTTTCGACCTGTGTATGATTTTGTCACTTCAGCATTGTCATTTTTTGAAGTTTACGGTTTGTTATTTTTTGGAAGCTTTCACTGTATCGTTTTTGGAGTTTACAGTGTTGTTATCTTTGGAAGCTTTTGCTTTTGCTGGTGTTATTTTGTCGTTTCAGCATCATCATTTTGAAGCTTTCGTGGTTGCTTTGGTGTTGTTGTTTTTAGATGCTTTTGAAACTGGAATCTTGCAGAATGGGCTAGCTTTGCTGAGATGCTGGAATATGGAGCTTGAGTTGGAATTTTGCAATAAGATAAGTATTTTACTGTGTTTTTTTATTTTTATTTTTATTTTTTTATTTTTTCTGTTTTTTTTGGTTCTTTTTTTTCGGCTTGAACTAATTTTTTCTTTTAGTTTAGCTTCATTTGAACAACGGGTAGGTTGCTTCGGTGTCATTGTGTTTGAAGGTGTGATTTTTATCATTTCGGTACTGTCATTTTGGATATAATTTCATCGTTACTTTTGGGAAACTTTTGCTAATATGATTTCGTTGCTTTGGTGTCGTCATTTTTGGAGTTTACTGTTTGTTATTTTTTGGAAGCTTTCGCTGGTGTGATTTTGTTGTTTTAGTGTTGTGTTGGAGTTTTCACTTAAATACAATTTGTTTGTGGTTAGAGTAGTTGGTCATTAGTGAGTGTTGTGTTAGAATAGAGTTTTATTCATTAATGTATATTTTTTTTTTTGATACTGATTAATAAAGAGCGTGGATTTGGCATAAAAAATATAATAATTAATTTTATCTTTTTCGATTGGTTCCACAGGATCTGACCTGTATTAATTTTCTGAGGTTAATAGGTTTTGTTACACATTAATTTGATTGGTTGCACATGATCGGGGACTGTCACTACCAGTTACAAATAGATTCGCTCTAATTTTAAAATAAAATAAATATATAGTAAAACTTTTATAATTATTAAGCTATAAACTCGTGTAATATATAAAAAAGATTTAATATAAAATAAAATAAAAATTTAAATCTAAAGCAAATTAATTTATTAATTGGTAATCCACCAGTCAACCAGAGAGTGATCATAGTAAAATATGACTCAAATTACTTATAAAAATTAGAGGATTTTAAATGTGGCATGTATGAATTTAAAAGTTTTTTTTATACTAAGTTAATTATCTTTCTAATTTAAAAAACTTTTATAAAGCTCATCAAGATGCATCTAATAGTGGTTAAAGTGTCAAAATCGGCTTGGTGAATGCCAAGATATTTTTAAAAAATGAGTCTTTTACTATGTAAACTTCTTTGCAAACAATAGTATTGTTTGCAAAGAAGTTTATATAGTAAAAGAACTATTTTTTAAAGATATTTTGGCACCCACCAAGCTGATTTTGACACTTTAACCACCATTAGATGTGTTTTGATAAGTTTTACAAAAGTTTCTTAATTAATGATCTATCTAAGAACTAGTAACAAAACATAGTAAAAAGTGAGGATATGTTTACTATATAAAGAAAAACTTTTTTCTTTACTAAGTAAATATCTTTCAAGCTTTAAGTAAAGTTGTAGATAGTTTCTTGCGAAAAAAATAGCAGTTAAAACATTAAAATAGGCCCAGTAAATTACGAGATATAAGTACTTTAGTCTTTACGACTATATGTAAACATATAGTCGCGAAGACTAAAGTACTTATATTTTGCGATCCACAGGGCTAATTTTAGCATTTTGACTGCTATTTTGATCGCAAGAAACTCATTTACAACTTTACTTAAAGCTTGAAAGATGTTTACTTAGTAAAGAAAAAAGTTTTTCTTTGGGAAACTCCAGATTCCAAAAAAGGCAAAATTTAATAGTAAATTTTTTCACAATTTACTAATTAATTTCACTGGATCACAAATTAAATTAGAAAGATGATTAACTTAGTATAAAAAAACTTTTAGATTTGTGCATGCCACATTTAAAATCCTCTAATTTTTATAAGTAATTTGAGTTATATTTTACTATAATCACTCTCTTGTTGACTGGTAGATCACCAATTAATTTAATTTAATTGATAATCCTTATAATCTTAGTAAAATGTGACTCAGATTACTATATAAATTTACTATAGTGCGAATGTGGCATTCGCTCAAGGTAAACTTTTTTCATACTAAGTTAATCATCTTTCTTGCTTAAAAATAGAATGTACGTAGATCATTTTTCATATAATCACCATGGTAGTACATAGTAAATAAAATTATGTTGCTAATAAAGCTTTTTAATATTTTGGCTAATTGTTATAAAAATTTTACAATATGTAATTTAAAAGTTTATTTGTAATAGTAAAGTTATAGAATATCAGTCGCATGATTTGTCACACTATTTTGCTTGTAAATTTTTATATATATAAAATTATAAAAAAAACATATAAA